AACCTGACAACTGGCCCGAGATTCAACCGTGCTCAATCTTGCCATGGTTTCCAAAGAATCTGGCCTCAAAGTCCAGAAAGCTCTGGGTTCCCATACATGGTGTGTATGCTGTTTATTTTGTATGGTGAGAAAGCTAAGTAATGCTAAAGCCCTATACCCCCAAGATTCCATGGAACGTTGAAGAAAAGCTGAAGACAGGTTTTCCCCTGTGAATTATTAAGAAAGCAACTAGAAGTCTCATGTGTACTGTCATATTTTCCCCTATATATAGTTCTTGATCCTAAGGAACCTGGTCTCCCCACACCTGCCCCCCAGCATAATAGTCGTTTCATGCAAAGGTTCACCAGTGAAAGTTCCATCAAGTCAGAACTTGGCAATTTGCTTGGCGAGATAGGAAATTATCCTGGGATAAGATAGACCCTGCCCCTCCACCCCCAGCTCCCTTTAAGGAGAAGGCCTTGAATTCTAAAGGAGTTGGGTATATCCGGCACGCATCTTGGGTATAGGAAGACAGGACATGCCTGTGAACCCTGAAGGCTCATGCCTGCTAGGGTTGTGTTTGTCATGTTGTCTGTTCCTTTTGGCTAGCAAGTGGAAGGAGACTAGTGCTGGAGGAGCATCCTGTAACCTCTGGTAGCTACAAGACACCAACACCAGAGATTGACTCCTAGGTAGCGCTATCTGATGAAACCACACAGCTGAGACTGTGTGTTTTGTCTACAGAGATATCTAAGCAAGGCTAAGACTCCGATAAATCTTAAAAATAATGGGTGCCTCTTTCAACAGAGGCTGGAGAAATGACACTAGAAAAATCCTAGTCAGAATTTAGAAGATAAGCATCTTTTATGCGCCCCCCTCCATTAATTGGTTGAATTGAGCATGTTGTGTAAATAAATTAAGTGTATTCCAGGAAACAACCTTTTGCATAGGGCTGGACAGATTTTACACGCAGTGAAATTTGATTCTATGTCATAGACCTAGACCGACCCACACAATTTTCCCTTTTGGAAAGAGTGATCACTTCATGAAGTCAATGCCTGTCAGGCCATGGGGCCTCCTCAGTTTTGCTTTGTTTTTTTTTCCTTGCAAACAGCTCCAAACCAGGGGTTCCTGAAGTTGATCTTGAGGTGACAGGAATTTCACCATATTTTTAAAACAAACAAATGAAACCTGTTTAATGGGTGTCTTTGGACAATGACGTCATCAACTCCCCTTTCATATTGCATGATGTGCAGGTACACGTGGAAACATTAGGCTGCATTTATTTGCACATGTGGTTCTGAGAGCATTTTTTTCCCATTCCCCACGGAGGACCATTTGCAGTGTGGGGGAAAAAAAAAAAAGGTAAATCCCCACAACGGTTTACTTTCTTCAGTGTTTAGTAGACTCTCTCTAAACCAACTGTGAAAGCTGCTCATCACCACGACCACCCCAGGACTGCACATTTCGCCCTTCTGCTGCCTGTGTTGTGAGATCCACACCTGCAACACGGACCGAAGGTGGACATGCCAGGCGGCTGGCACCAAAAGCAACAGGCCTGTTCTGACTGGGCGTGCCTGGTGGTGGATCGTGTTTGCCCTGAATGTTCACTGTTCCGTGTTGGCAAGATAAAAGTGCCTTAAGTTACAGATTTGTTTTGAGGTCCACTAAAGAAAATCTGTATCTGCTCATACAGCATTTATTTTTCCAAATCTTTACTCCCCTTTTTTTCTTTTTGCATGTCCACTGTCCATTGACTATTGTAAATTAATTCATTTACATACCAGTGGCTGCCTTTGATTAAACTTCTTCCAAAAAATAAAGAAATGGAAGAGATGATAAGGTCAAAGAGCTGACTTGAAAATTTCAAAGAGCAGCTTGAGAAGACAAAGTCAAATACTATAATGAGATGTGCAAAGACCTAGAGTTAGGAAAGCAACGAGGAAGACATGCTCTGCATATCTTAAACTGACAGAACTGAGGAAAAATTTCAAGCCTTGAGTTCAGTACTGAAAGATTCTATGGGCAAAATATTGAATGATGCATCAAAAGAAGATAGAAAATATTAACCGAGTCACTGTACTGAAAATAATTAGTCCACATTTCATCATTTCAGAAGGTAGCATATGAGCAAGAATCAATGGTGCTGAAGGAGGAAGTTTAAGCTACACTGAAAGCATTAGCCAAAAATAAGGCTCCAGGAGTTGATGGAATGTGCACTGAGATGTTTCAACAAGTTGATGAAGAACTAGAAGTATAAATTTGTCTATGAACTAGAAGTCCCACTTGTCTATGCCAGGAGACCAGGAAGACTTGGCCAACTGAGTGGAAGAGATTCATATTTATACTAGAACATATCATTAATATCACATCAAGTAAAATTTTGCTAGGCTATATGGAAAATCTCTTTTGACTTTTTAAAGAACTGCCAAAACTATTTTATCAAGCGGTGGTACCATTTTACATTCCCATAAGCAATGCATGTAAATGCCACGTTTGTCTACATCCTTGCTAATACTTACTATTATCGCTTCTAGTTATAGTCATTTTAATGGATATGGAGTGGTATCTCATTGTAGTTTTAATTTGTATCTCAGTAATGAGTAATTGAGCCCTTGTGACAATGGAGGTTACAAGTTAGGATGCTAATTGCAATGTTAGCTGTTTGACTCCACCAATAGCTCTGACAGAGAAAGAAGAGGCCTTCTGATCCTACAAAAATTTATAGCCTTGGAAAATCTGAAGTGGCAAATTCTACTCTGTCCTATACTTGATGGCAGTGGGCTTAGTTTTTAGAATGACTAATGGTACTAAGACAGAGGAACTCTGTAATAGTGGTTATGTGTTTGGCTGCTAACAAGGTCAGCAGTTTGAAAACCTCAGCCACCCCGATGGAGAGAAGGGGTTTTTCACTCTGTTAAAAAGTTACAGTCCTTGGGGGATGGAAAACAGAAAAGTGGGTGAAGTGAGACATTGGACAGTATAAGATATGACAAAATAATAAGAACTTATAAATTATCAAGGGTTCAAGAGGGAGAGGGGAGCAGGGAGGAGGGGGGAAAATGAAGAGCTGATATCCAGGGCTCAAGTAGAAGCAAATGTTTTGAAAATGATGATGGCAACAAATGTACAAATGTGCTTGACACAATGGATGTATGTGTGGATTGTGATACGAGTTGTATGAGCCCCCAGTAAAATGTTTTTTATTTTTAAAGTTGCAGTCTTAATACTCAACCTAAAAATATACTACTTTTATACTAAACCTATAAATATATGCACATAGATCTAGCAGATGGACATTGGGCCTCCATTCAAGTACTCCCTCAATGCAAGAACACTTTGTTCTATTAAATTGGCATTCCATGATGTTCACCTTCCCCACACAATCACTGAAGACAAATGTGTGCATAAGCAAACATGGTGAAGAAAGCTGATGGTGCCCGGCTTTCAAAAGATATAGTGTCTGGGGTCTTAAAGACCTGAAGGTAAGCAAGCAGAAAAGTGGGATACGTTTGACAGTGTAAGACATGACAAAATAATAATAGCTTATAAATTATCAAGGGTTCATGAGGAAAGGGGTGGTGGTGGGGGGAGGGGAAAATGAGCTGATATCAAGGGCTCAAGTAGAAAGCAAATGTTTTGAGAATGATGATGGCAACAAATGTACAAATGTGCTTGACACAATGTATGTATGCATGGAGTTGTACGAGACCCCAAGAAAATTGTAAAAAAAAATTACAGTTTTTAGAAACTCACAGGGCAGTTCAAACCTATCCCTAGAGGATTCTTATGAATCCTTTTAAAAATTATACTGAGCATATTTTTGCATCATTATTGGTTATTATCTTCTTTAGTTGTATCTTCTTTGGGGAAATGTTTATTCAAATCCTCTGCCCATTTACAAATTTGGGTTATTTGAATTTTGTTTGTTTGTTTGATTGTTTTTTATTATTGAGTTTTAGAAGCTTGTTATATACTCTGATACTAGTCCCTTGTCTAATAATTTCCAAATTCTGTCTCCCGTTTTCATATTGCCTTTTCACTGTATTCATTGTGTTTTTTGAAGTAAGAAAGCGTTTACATTTGATGAAGTAAAATTTATTTATTTTTCTTTGCTGGCTTTTTTATTTTATTTGTCAGGACTAATATCTAAGAAATCATTGCCTAATCCAAGATCATAAAGAAGCACTCCTGTATATTTTCCTAAGAGTTTTATAGCATTACCCATTATATTAGGTTTTTGATTCATTTTTCTTTTTCTTTTTTTGCATATGGTGCAAGGTAGGGACTCATCTTTATTTTTTTGTAGATTCCAGTGGCCTAGGCATCATTTGTTGAAAAGGGTATTACTTCCCCCATGAATGATCTTGTCATATTCGTTGAAATTATTTAACCAAAGGTTTACTTCTTGACTTTCAATTCTGTTCCATTGATCTACATGTTTACCCTTACTTCAGTACAGCACCATTTTGATTACTGTATCTTTGTAATAAATTTGGAAGTTGGGAAGTGTAGTTACTTTGTGTAGAGTTGAGAAAGATATTTAATTGCTTTACTTTTTAATAAAATGCAGTTAATCAATACATTTTCTAATTTGGGAGATTAAATATTACATTGCTATTAGTTGACATTTACACCAGCCTTTATATCAAGCTAAGTTTAAGCAGCACAATACCTACCCATGCCTTGGTGGGATAGTAATTAGTTAAGGGTCAAGACTTGTCTCAAACATTAGGAAACCAACCTTAATAAAATTGGTTTTTAGGGACAGAAAAATTAGTTTCAGGGGGGTACTAAGAAAAATTCTCAGCTACAGAAGCACAAAATAAGACCTTCATTCCTTTTTTCTAAGGGTTTTGTGCATCATGGTCAAAGTAGAAGTAATGACAAAACTGTCACTTAGTGGTGAATTTAGAATAGTATGCGATACAGATCATTACCTTTTAATAATAACTGCTTTTATTTGAAAAACCCATTTTTTTCACTTGAAATCTTTTTATATTACAGGAATAAATGCTAACATGGAGAAGGACTTCAAGACTGAGCCATCACCATCTTCCGTGACTCTTCAAGGCTCTTCAGAGACATTGTTTTCTATTCAGCTATTAGATTTCAAAACAAGGTTACTAGAAGCATTAGAAGAATTGCGTATGAGAAGGGTAAGCACTTTAAAAAATATATGCCTTTTAACCAGAGAACTTACTTTTGTTCAGTTTTTTTCATTACAATTAATTTTTCAAGGACAAAAAGAGGCCTAACTCATAGCAACTCTAAGAACAGAGTACAATTGCCCCACAGTTTCCAAAGCTATATTTCTACAGGAACAACCTTATCTTTCTCCTGTGGAGGAGCTGGAGGGTTTGAACAACCAACCTTTCACTTAGCAGCCCAGTTAGTTTAACTCACACTGTCATTATGGCTCCTTAAAAAGAAGAAATGTGTTCCAAATAATGTAGGGCGGGGGCGGGGGCGGGGCGGGGAAGGAGGACGAACAAACAAAGTCTGCGATCAGGGAATGGGCAAGAAGACTTTGGAAATTAAAGTAAACATACAAGTCAACAGAAATTTGTTGAGTGCCTAGGAATGCACAATGACTGATTAAAAAGAACATCTATTGTAGAGATTGCATTTTTTGCCAAGGTATGCTATAGGTGTCTACTATTGACTAATGAAACAATGTAGTAAATGATTTTTAACAAACCAAACTCACTTCCATTGAGTCAATTCTGACTCATAGCAATCCTATAGGACAGGCTGGTTCTGCCCCTGTGACTTCCTGAGACTGTAACTCTTTACAGGAGTAGAAAGTCTCATCTTTCTCCTATGGAGTGGCTAATGGTTTCTTTCTTTCTTTTTTTTTGTGGCTAATGTTTTCTAACTGCTCGTTTTCAGTCCAATGGGTAACCCACTATGCTAAGTGTAAAAGTAAATGTAAGTAGTAAGTATTCTGATTTTTGACATTAGAGTAACCTTATGTTAAAAAAAGATAACCTTGGGAGGGGGGAGGGAGCACTAGATTGGATTGTGATTGCACAACTCATATTTAACCATGGGGGCTAGGGATCCTCTAAAATGGATATGGTGATGACTGTAAAATTCTCCTTGATATGATTTTTTAAAATTTAAATTTTAATTAATTAATTAATTTTTTGTCACTACCACATCAATTTTAGAACATTTCCCCCGCCATCATTAAAATGCCCCTAAAATGAGTTGTGCAATCACAATCAGTTCTAGTGCTCCCTCTCCCATCCCACCTTCATTGTTTCCCCCAACAGTTTTATTGGCATATAATTTACCTATCAACCCTATTACACTGAATAGTTCAATCATTCGATCATAGCAAGGGGAATTGTACAATCACCACCACATCAATTTCAGAGCACCCCTCTACTCCTCTTCCCCCACACACCACTCTGTTTCAATTGCCTTTAAAATGAGATGTGCGATCTCACTCAGTTCTAGCGCTCCTTCCCCTCTCCCACCTTTACTATTCACTCCCAAGATCCCCTTTCCTACCCAATCAGCCATCCCCAATCCCACCCTGCATTCTCTACATCCCCTTTGAGATAGTTAGGGTTTATTGTGCCAACCTGGCCGATAAACACATGTGGGATTAATTGAAGGGCAGAGAGATAAATGGCTCGGTGAGCCTCGCCTCTTCTGGTTCTTTGGTCTCTTGTTCTCTGATGGTTGGGTGCACTGCCTTAGCTGGCAAGGCTCACTTCCTGTGAGACATCCCTGAGGAGAAACCACTTACCCTGATGCAGCCCTGAGTGCTGGACAAGCCTCGTGGAGACCCCTGCCAGTGCTGAGACGCTCACACCGCCGCTGGACTCAAAGACCCTCCACCCACTGGCCCGTGATCCCACTGCACTCGGTGTAACTGTGTGTGTTTTGTGAGTTTGAGGAGGACTCTGTAGATCGGCGTGGGACATACGGGCTAAGTCAGATCTATGAGCCTGGACTGGACTGCGCTGGGTTGCCCTCTGAATGTACACTTACCCTATTATGTGTTAGTATGGGTAGACTAGAGAAACAAATCCATGGACACACATATGTGTATAAGAAAGAGACTTATATACAAGAGCAATTGAACATTGAGAAAACATATCAGCCCCCTCCAGATCAGACCCACAAGTCCGATATTAGCCCGCATGTCCGACACCAATCCATACAGTCCTCCTTAGACTCACAAAACACCTGCAATGAAGCCAAATCCAGGACAATCACAAGCCAGTGGGCAGAAAGTCCCCGGGTCCAGCGGCCCTGTAAGCATCTCAGCACTGGCAGGGGTCTCTCTGTGGCTTCTCCAGCTTCCGAGGTCTGGTTGCGTCCATGTAGCTTGTCCTCTGCAAACATCTCCCAGGGAGTAGCAGAGAGAGAGAGAGGTGTCTTCCACCTCTGAGGAGGAAGTACCAGATTTCCCCCTCCTTGATATGATTGAACGATTGAACCATTGAATGGTATGATATGCAAATTATGTGCCAATAAAACTGTTGGGGAAAAATATAATAACTTTGAGACAGATTTTTAAATTTTATTTTTTAATCATTTTATTGACATAACACACAACACACAATGTAATAGTTCAATCACATTAAAAAGAGTTGCACAATCATCACCACAATCAATTTTAGAACATTTTCTTCTTTCCTGTGCTTATTGTTATTAGCTTCCCATCTCCCCTCAACCTACCCTGCCATACCCCTAAGAAATTATGAATCTAGTTACTGTCTCTATGGACTTATCTATCCTAGATTTTATATTCAGAAAACCATGCCAAAACCAAGCAAACAATACCCCCCAACAACAATTAACAAAATAAAACAAAGAAACCTCAATAGAGAAGAAATAAAAAAATATTAAAACTAGAATAAATTAAAAATGGGTTCAATAGAGATCAAATAATAAGACGTTAAAATTTAACCTAATTACATCTATAAGACTCTACAGAAGGATTAAAGGACAATTTGTGAAAGATGTTTGATTTCAGCAGGAGTTCTGTATTGTGCAAAACTTTAAAAAATATTTAATTTCTGAATTTAAATTGGAAGAATATGTAGCCAACTCTGTATAGGATAGACTGGAGGTATAAAGATTCTGGAAGGAAGAAAATGGAATATAAGGGCATTACAATAAAATTCAAGAGATAAGATCAGTAGGACTTATATACATATACAGTAACTGAAAATAAAAGAGGCGCAAAGAAGAATCAGTAGAATTTGATGACATTCTGAAAATAGACTGTAGAAGGGAGAAAAGGAGACCTGAAATGTTGTTATAATATGAGCTTTGAACTGATGTTGTTAGGTGCTGTTGAGTTGATTCAAACTCATAGCAACCCTTTATACAATAGAATGAAACACTGTCAGTACTATGCTATCATCACAATCTTTGCTATGTTTGAGTTTATTGTTACAGCCATCTCCTTGAAGGTCTTCCTCTTTTTCATTGACCCTATACTTTACCAAGCATGATGTCCTTCTCCAGAGACGGGTCTCTCCTGATACCCCAAAGTTTGTGAGATGAAGTCTAACTGTCTTCGTTTATAAAAAGCATTCTGGCTGTACTTCTTCCAAGACATATATGTTTGTTCTTTTGGCAGTGCATAGTATATTCAATAGTCTTCATTGACACCATAATTCAAATGCATCAATTCTTTGTTCTTCCTTATTCACTGTCCAGCTTTTGCATGCACATGAGGCAATTGAAAATATCTGAGCTTTATCCCTGGTCAAGTACACCTTAGTTTTCAAAGTGACACCTTTTCTTCTTTAAAACAGCAACAACAACAAAAAAACCCTAAAAGAGGTCTTAAAAAATTTTTTTTATGTCAATCATTTTATTTGGGGTAAAAGAGGTCTTTTGCAGAAAATTTACCCAATGTAATATGAGCAAGTACCCCCTCATCCCCCTCAAAAAACCCTGGATTTTTCTTTTCAAAGCTATGTATTTAATTAAAAAAATTTTTTTTTACAAAACCACTTTATCACCTTCAAAGTACTCTCCATTACACTTAATACATTTGTCATATCTGTGATTCCATTCTTGGAAACATTTTTCAAACTCATCTGTTTGGATGGCTGACAGCACCTCCCCTCATTTTTTTCTTCACCTCTTCTGTATTGTCAAATTGCTCTTCTTTCATGTACCTCTTCATTCACAGAAACAAAAAGAAATCACACAGAGCCAGGTTAGGTGAGTAAGGTGCAAGAGAGCATGCTGTTTTATACCAAAAACTCGTGCACTGAGTCAGCTGTGTGAACAAGTACATAGTCATGGTGGCAAACCAGTCCCTGGCTGCCACAAATCAGGCCTTTTTTGTCACACATTGTTACGCAATCTTTTCAGAGTCTCTACTTAGAAGGCTTGATTAACAGTCTGATCTGGTGGAACGAACTCAAAATACACCACAAGTCAACATTTTCGTCTGTTCAGGAAGTTGACAGATTTCCAGAACGAGGTTTGTCATCAATTGGCATTTCACCATTTTTAAAATGAGAAAACTACTCATTCACTTGAGTTTTTCCCAAAGCACTGTCCTTGTAAGCTGTGTTCAACATCACAACAGTTTTTGTGGCATTTTTTTTGAGCAGGAAACAAAATTTCATAGCCACACATTGTTCTCTTAAATTGGTCATCACAAAAAAACGAGGTTTGAGTGAAACTGTTTTTACAAAAAAATTCACTGTGACCAGATAAAACCTTCTCAGGTAAAGCCACTGGGTGCACTAATTCAGAGCAAGTTTGCTCAATGCTTACCTAGTGGGAAAAATGCATACTACAAAAGCTCTGCTCTGCCCAGTACAATTCCAGTTTTTTTGTGTGTACCTCCTCATATGAATGGTTTTCTCATTTTAAAAAAGGCAAAATGTTGATTGAAGACAAACCCTGTTCTGGACATCTGTCAACTTTCCAAATGGATGAAAATGTTGACTCGTAGTGCATTTGGAGTTCATTCCACTAGGTAAGACTGTTAATCAAGTTTTCTAATTAGAAGTTCTAAAAATATTGCATAACAGTGTGTGACCAAAAAGGCCTGATTTGTGGCAGATGGGGGACTGGTTTTGCCACCACCGCAATGCCTCTGTTCATGCAGCCGTCTCAGTGCAACAGTTTTTGGCAAAAAAACCCAGCATGCCTCTCTTGAACCATG